TATCATTTCTTTCCCAAAGAAAAAAATTATACTGACTCCAAGCTTTTGAATGGTATAGTGTATAATGTTACAAAAGCTTTTTATTTCAGATAAATGCTGATCTTAAGATATTTCTAATCATCAAAGAATCCTGAAAAAGATTTACTCAACTGTTTTAAATATTGATAATAATATAAAAAAATGTTTATCAGCATATTAGAAAGATTTCTGAAGGATTATGTGACACTGAAGACTGGAGTGATGATGCTGAAAATTCAGCTTTGATCACAGGAATAAATTACATTTGATCATATATTCAAATAGAAAGCAGTTATTTTAAGCAGTAAAATATCACAATATTACTGCTTTTTCTTTATTTCGGATCATATAAATGCAGGCTTGGTGAGCAGAAGAGACTTTAAAAACATTAAAAATCTTACTGTTCAAAAACTTTTGACTGGTAGTGTACTTGCCAATTTTTGCTTTTCAGTATGTGTATGTTTTTCCATGATACAAAGTCCCCAGGGGACTGTGGTGATACCCTTTTTTAAGCTAGTGCATCTGAGAGGTCAAGATTTTGAGAGGTCAAAAATCATGGTTTACAGTGCAGTACCACAATTGGATTGTTTTTTACAGGTAAAAAACATTTCAACTAAATGACTCTACAGTACTTATACTGTAAATGAAAATACGGTAATAATACTGTACATAAAACACAGTAAAGACATTATTGTACTGTAAATGCAATTACAGTACTGATACTGTAAATGAAAATACGTTAATAATACTGTAAATAAAATACAGTAAAGACATTATTGTACTGTAAATGCAATTACAGTACTGATACTGTAAATGAAAATACGTTAATAATACTGTAAATAAAATACAGTAAAGACATTATTGTACTGTAAATGCAATTACAGTACTAATACTGTAAACATTTTTTACAGTAAATTACTGGCATCCAGCTGCCAGTAAGTTACTGTAAAATTCACAGCAACCTATTTACATGCAGCTACTGTTTTGTTATTAGTTCAAGTATTTGCTATTGACTGTTTAAATGCGTAGTTTTGCGCATTGTGTGTGCGTGCGTGCGTGCGTGCGTGCGTGCGTGCGTGCGTGCGTGCGAGAGAGAGAGAGAGAGAGAGAGAGAGAGAGAGAGAGAGATGAAAGATGAAGCTCGCGATTATGGTAAGGGGCGTTACATTTCCGACGAGTGCTTGTGGTGTTCGGCCAATCACAATGCACTGGGTCAGCTGGCCAATCAGAGCAGACTGCGCTTGTCGGAAGGAGGGACTTTGTAGAAAACGAAGCGTTTGAGGGAGGCGGGGCATAGAGGACTTACAATAATGTACAGTATTTGAAAAATAATGTGTTTTTTGAACATTAAAGCATGTCAACATATGTTACACCAAATACACAAAATAATGATCTTTAAAAAAGCATCATATGACCCCTTTAACATCTCAAAATATTAGGTAATTATAGTTATACTCTTTCCAAAATTCAGAAAATGTAAAACTCATTCAACAGTTTGGCAAGCTTTTTTGTGTCCTCTGACTACCTTGTAATGCTGTTACTTTGGTATCTCTTCTTCCTTGAATAAATAAAGAAATAAAGAAATAAAGCATTAGTTCAGATCTTTAAACGTCATGTAGGGTGAAGTTAAATTTCATCACATTTTTTTTTAAATCGCTTACTGAAATGGTTTTAATATTCCATGCTTGCCTCTGTGATAGTTGCTTTAAAGTAAAATCTAAATTTTTATCTTACTTTGAAAAGTTTTAATTTAACATGAAAGTTTGAGCAGAATTATATTATTTTTGTCAAACTTTTAACGTAAAATGTCCTGCACATCTTTGCATGTGGATATGTTGATTTTTAAAAAAAGCTTTTCTAACCTTTTTTTAATGCAGTGGTTGATTATTTACTCACCCTCAGGCCATTCAAGATGTAGATGAGTTTTTTTCTTCATCCGAACAGATTTGGAGAAACTTAGCATTTATCAGCTGTTTGGAGTGGACTCTCATTCTGACGGCACCCATTCACTGAAGATGATCCATTGGTCCAAGAGATGTAATGCAACATTTCTCCAAATCTGTTCTGATGAAGAAACAAACTCCTCTACATTTTGGATGATCTCCAAGTTAAATGTGACAAATGTGATGTACTATAATTTGGCTGATCAGATCACAAGATTTGTTGGACCATGTTTACACCAGTGCTTAGCACGGTTCACTCCACAGTCTTCTCACATAAATCCTTTCAAATCAATATTTAATGTCCATTTATTTATTTATTTGATAAATATCCATGCTGTTGTCCTCTGTCAAGGGTTTATTTTGCAATAATGACCAGCTGATTGTATGTTAGGCTTTACATAAACACTGTGCTAGCCTCTATACTTGACGTAATTAAAATCCCATGTTTCATTCTTGCCACCTATTCTTTAAAATGAAAACTGAATGATTGTGAAGGAGCATCCTGGCTTCATTCATCTTCCTGACAAAGGAAAGATGGATTAATGTGTGGATGTGTGAATTATAAAATGGCACCTAATCATGTGCTGAGCGCATGAAAATGAGTGTGAAGGGTGAGTGGTGATAGCACATCACCTGCAGGCACTGAGACAGAAAAGAGGCATAAACAACCAAATTCAATTACCAGAAAAACTCTGCTGGAGAATCTGACAGCAATTGGAGGAGTTGGCAGCTAAACTGTACAGCTTAGGGTAAATAGTGTTGTATTTAGGTTTGCCATGACTGCCTTTTTTTTTTATCCCTGTCATGAATGTGTGAAGCAGGGAGTTGTGAAGAAAAGCTGTGGAGCACAATCTTGTGTAAAAGCAGGACAGGAAAATCATTTTGAAGAAAAAACAAAACTGTGACCATTGCTTTGACGCTGCACTCTATCTCTTTGTGCACTGTAGAAAATGTTTTTAATTGTTAAATGGAAATTCATTTCACAACACTACAGTAAAAACCTGTTGAGTTACTTTATCATATGGTGAAAAATTCTAATTTTAATTTAGAATAAAAAAACACTAAAATTACATTAAAATAAGTGTTTGTGTGACAAATTTGATTGTTTTATTTTATTAGTTTATTTTTTTTACCAATTACTACGTGTACATAGTGTTTAGTGTTGCTTTTATGTGCAAGAGTGAGCACATGGTTATAAACCCCTGTGGTAAAAACAACAACAAAAACTACCTAACTAACTACCTAACTAACTAACTAAATACATACAGGTGCATCTAAAAAAAATTGAATATCATGAAAAAGTTATTTTTTTTGTAACTTATTTCAAAAAGTGAAACTTTCATATATTCTAGATTCATTGCATGTAAAGTAAAACATTCAACATTTTTATTTTGATGCTTAGAGCTTACAGCTCACGAAAGTAAAAAATCCAGTATCTCAAACTATTAGAATATTTCCTAAGATCAATCAAAAAAAGGATTTGCAAAACAGAAAAGTTCAAGTTCTTTAAAGTATGTTAATTTATGCACTCAATACTTTGTCCGGGCTCCTTTAGCACAAATGACAGCATCAGTGAGGTGTGGCATGGAAGCGATCAGCCTGTGGCACTGCTGAGCCACTATTGAGCCTTCAGCTCGTCTGTATTGTTGCATCGACTGTTTCTCATTTTCTCTTGAAAATATCCCATAGATTCCATGGGGTTCAGGTCAGGCATGTTGGCTGACCAATCAAGCACAGTAATATCATGGTCAGCAAACCACTTGGAAGTGGTTTTGGTACTGTGGGCAGGTGCTAAAGTACTGCTGGAAAAGGAAATCAGCATCTCCATAATGCTTGTCAGCAGATGGAAGCATAAAGTGCTCCAAAATCTCCTGGTAGATGGCTGCACTGACTTTTGGACTTGATAAAACACAATGGACCAACACCAGCAGACGTCACAGCACCCCAAATCATCACTGACTTCGGAAACTTCACACTGTACTTCAAGCAGCTTGGATTCTGTGCCTCTCCAGTCTTCCTCCAGACATTGATTTCCAAACGAAATGCAAAATGTACTTTTATCTGAAAAGAGGACTTTGGACCACTGAGCAACAGTCCAGTTCTTTTTCTCCTTAGCCCAGTTAAGATGATTCTGACGTTGTTTCTGTTTCAGAAGTGGCTTGGTAGCCCTTTTCCTGAAGATATCTGAGCGTGGTCACTCTTGATGCACTGACTCCAGCTTCAGTCCACTCCTTGTGAAGCTCTCCCAAGTGTTTGAATCGGCTTTGCTTGACAGCATTCTCAAGCTTGTGGTCATCCCTGTTGCTTGAGCACCTTTTCCTACCCAATTTCTTCCTTCCAGTCAACTTTGCATTTAATATGCTTTGATACAGCACTCTGTGAACAGCCCCCCCTTTCAGTAATGACCTTCTGTGACTTACCCTCTTTGTGGAGGATGTCAATGATTGTCTTCTGGACCATTGCCAAGTCAGCAGTCTTCCCCATTATTGT